CGCTCAGAAAAAACAAAAGGAATACTAAACGGACTCCAAAAATCCCGAAATGAAATTTCCCCGGCTTCTAAAATCAAGCTGCACAGGATGAATATTTATTTGGGGTCTAAATGCAATTTTGAAAAATGCACATTTTTCCTAAATTCAAATAAAATAGCAAATAAAACCCAAATAAAATCTTATTTGATTTTATTATTAAATCCTCAATATTTATTTATTTTGGGAAAGTCATTTTATTCCCTCTTGCATATTTTTGTAATAGAAATAATTGAAGATAAAATAAATAAAATCAAATAATCCTATTTTTAAAATTTAAGAAAACTTGAATATGAAAATAACGAAATCCCCAACTCTCTCCGAGAGTCCTTGAGTTGCGTAGAATTTCTAGGATCAACCCAAAATGAAATAAAATATGATATGCAATGATGATCTAATGTACAACATTCCAAATTGAAAATTTGGGATGTTACAGGATCGTAGCCTTAGGCTTGGCCCTTGGGATGGAAGGCCTGGCCACGACCCTCATAGATGACGTTCTCCATGAACGCGTTGTAGTCGGGGTCGTCGGCCGCCGGCGTCGTGTTTGGCATTTTGTCTAACATGTTGCGGCCTCCAGGAAAGTTTGCCATAGGAATTGATCGCGACTGCTTCCTTTGCATCCTGGCAGTCTACTGGCCAACGCAACTATACCTAGACGTGACGTTGAGGTTGATGATGGCCGTGGGGCCGGGAGTGGCCGACGCGATCACGCTACTGTCCGGCGACGTGGAGAACCGGGTCGGAGCATGCTGCCGTGCCAGATGAAAATGGGGCGTCTCTGGTGTCATGGAGGAGCTCGAGGACTGGTACTGCGGAGGACGAACGACCAACGAGCCTGTGCTCGCCGCAACCATGGTGGTGGCGGAGAGAATGGCCAGCACAGGTCGACACAACTCTAGCATGAGAAGGACGTGCGTCGTTGTTGCTTGCGTGGCCTTTGCGACGATGGCCTCGTTGTCCTCAGCGGTGGCCTTGTGCTGCGCGGTCACAACCTCGAGGGCGAAATCGGCAACGCCCTTCTTCTCCACCTGAACGGACCGTCGGGCCCTTCTCTTGTCCGATTCTATGTCGAATCGCGTGATCTCCGTCGGCATGAGCTCCGACCGCTATTTCTTCTTCTTCTTCATTGCGGGACGGGCGTCGGTGCCAACCGGGTCGCCGGCTGCGGGTTTCTTCTAGGCGCCGGCCATGGAGGAGGGACGAGAGGGGTTTTGGAAATAAGGGAGAAAATGGGAGTGTTGTGTCGCCGACAGGCGGGCCACGGGAGGACAAGGGCACGCGTCCCGCCCATCCGCGTGCTGTCCGTTTCGACACAATTTGGACCAGAAATGGACCAGCGACCAACAAAAAATGGACATTTGTCCGTTTATTACTCATGCACGTTGGGTCGTGATTTGTGTGCGTGGGTTGGCCTAAGGGTTCGAAAAGTCCGTGTTTTCCTTGTAGAACCAGGATCACAGAGCCAAAACCAATATACCAGTCCCCTCCCCCTGCATTCCCTAGGGTATAGTTCTGAAGTGCCGATCGGTTTAGGTGTTTGGGTCGGAAATGGGTCCTTTGGTTGGGTCACAATTTTCTGTCCGGGTACCGACGGTATGGGTCGGGTTATAGATGCTGTGAAGCCAAGTGCGAAGCCCACATAGTGTTTGGTTTGGGGGAAATAGAGATGGGGAATGAGAGTTGAGGGGTAAGGAGATTAAAAGTCCACTTCTTGATTAGAGGGAATGAGAGTTTAAGTGAAAAGGGGGCTAGGAGTTGAGGAAGCCAATTCCCACCGATTTCTTCTCAGGGATACCTGTTAATTCATGAGCAGAGTTCTATCTCATGCCAATTCCCATCATATGCCAAACAAGGGAATGAAAATAAAAATCTATTTTCATGTCTAATCCTATCATAAACATCCTTGTGCAAACTTCCATTCTCTTAGAGCATCTCCAGCCGTTGCCCCCCCCCCCCCAGGAGGCATAAAAATCGCCCCCTTGGGGTGAGCCGGCAATAGAATCAGCGCCGGGAGCGATTGGGTGTCCAGTCGTCGCCCCCACGCGCCGAGATTGGCCCAGTTTTCGGCCCACTTTCGGCGAATAGAAGGCCCCATATGGACAAAATCGGTCCATATTCGGCGTGGTTCGCTGTGGCTCGGCGTTCAATTATGAACATAAATATTTTTTTATTACATAGCTCATCACAAAAAATCAAATAGTTCAACAAAATAGTGCAACAACAAATAGTTCAATACAAATTATATTGTTCAACAAATAAAAACTCATATTTCATCACACGTCGAGCCCGGTGTCGCCCTTGAGCCTCCAAAGGTGCTCCACCAGATCCTGCTGCAGTTGATGATGCACCTGTGGGTCTCGGATCTCCTAACGCATACTGAGATAGGTAGTCCAGGTTGCCGATAGCTGGTGATCAACTTCGGCTAGAGGACCCTGCCTGTAGTATGGTTCAGTGTCAAACACTGGCTCTTCCTACTCGCTCTCAATGATCATGTTGTGCAAGATGACACGACAAAGTCATGATCTCCCACATTTGATCTTTCGACCAGGTCTGAGCAGGGTAGTGGACAACAACAAATCGAGATTGGAGCACACCAAAAGCCCGCTCGACATCCTTCCTGCAAGCCTCTTGACACTTGGCAAAGTAGGACTTCTTGCCTCCTGTCATAGCGTTTGAGATAGTCTTCACAAATGTAGACCATCTCGGATAGATGCCATCAGCTAGGTAGTACCCCTTGTTGTAGTGCCACCTATTGACCTCGAAGTTCACCAGAGGAGAATGACCTTCAACAAGCTTGGCAAAGACAGGGGAGCACTGCAGCATATTGATGTCATTGTGAGTTCCTGGCATACCAAAGAAGGAGTGCCAAATCCAGAGGTCTTGTGTGGCCACCGCCTCAAGTACCACACCGCAACCGCCTTTGGCGCCTTTGTACATCCCCTGCCAAGCAAATGGGTAGTTCTTCCATTTCCAATGCATGCAGTCGATGCTTTCAAGCATCCCAGGAAATCCTCTTGATGCATTCTGTGCTAGGATCCGAGCAGTGTCTTCCGCATTGGGGGTTCGCAAGTATTCGGTCCAAATACTGCCACCACTGCCCGACAGAACTTGTAGAAACACTCAATGTTGGTGGACTCGACCATGCGCCCATAGCCATCGAGTGAATCACCGTGAGCTCCGTATGCAAGCATCCTCATCGCTGTCGTGCACTTCCGGATCGAGGTGAATCCAAGTTTGCCGGTGCAATCCTTCTTGCACTTGAAGTAGCTGTCGAACTCCCGGATGGCGCCGAAATGTGTTGTCGCCGTGCAGTGGAGCGTCGGCGAAGTAGTCAGAGTAGAGCATGCAGTAGCCTTCGAGACGATGTCGGTTCCTTGCTTTCACCCGCCCCGGTGCCGAGCCACCTCGCCGCGGCTTTTCATTGCTCGCCAGCAGCTGGGCGAGGGCGGCGAGCACCATGAGATGCTCTTCCTCCTGGACGTCGGCCTCGACTTCCTCCTCCAGCAGCGCGGCGAGCACTTCCTCGTCATCCGAGTCCATCTCGTCGAGGTAGGCAAATCGCCGAACACCTAGCGCGCCGGTGGGCGTGTACCCGCCGCTAAACTACCCCTCCGCGGCCGGAAATGGCGGCCGAAAACGCCCAGCTGCTGGTGGAGGGGCTGCCTCGGCGAACCTCTGCTATTTTTTCGGCGGGGATTGGTTATCTAGTGATGAAGGGCGGCGGGCGGCGCCGGGATACAGCTAGTGGCAGCCGAGGACGCGAGGGGGGGAGGCGAGTCGGGGAAGAAAGACTTACTTTTCAGCTGACGGGGTGGGCCAGCCGTGCTTTTCTCTTGCGCCAGAGCCCCGGATCGCCCCTAGCGCGCCGGGTTCGGCCTGTGAGCGCCGGGCCCAAAAACGAACCGAACCGACGCTTTTTGATATCCTGGGCATGACTGGGGCTTTTTCTTTAACGCCGATGCAAAAAAATGACCTGAGGGAGCATGTTGGGGCCCCTCTTAGGCTGTGTTTGATAGCAAAGGGTGAAATAAACCGAAGTATCCAAAACTGCAATATTTTTGGTTGTAGGTATGAGATATCATGGTTTTATCAAAACACAGTATTTTAGAGTATTCACAATACATAGAACCTGTTTGGTTGTTGCTACACAACGCTGTAAATTTTGGTGCCTAACCATTGCGTTCAAATACTTCAACAGCTACCTAGTCGTTGCATTAGCAGTGCAAGCACGCGCAGCTAGCCGGCCGTTTGAATTCTGTTGGTTTTTTTTTAGCTAGCTAGCTGACTATCCATTACCATCTTGCGTTCATAACAACCGAAACTACCCTTTTAGAGGCAGCCAAATAACCCTTTGTAAATAAAACTACAGTAATACAAAAAACTGTAGTATTCTGAGAATACTTAGAAAAAACTTTTGTTATCAAACGGGGCCTTAGAGTGTTTACCAAACTGCCTGTGCGAGTCAGCGTTTTCCTCGCAGACTCCGCGATCGCAGAGCCAAACCAATATAGCCGTCCCGTCCCCTCCCCCCGCATCTCTCCCTTCCCCCCTCCAGCTCCTCCTCCACCCACCTGAAAGCGACGCCGGCGCACAGAGCACACCGAACTCCCCTCCTCGCCTCGTCCTCTCGCCACCCGGCTTCCCCAGCGACAGCGACGGCCGGTCGCTTCAAATGACCTAAGCACCCCCGCGCTCGCGCCCCCCTTTTTCCTCCCCTTCCCTCCGTCCTTATGACCTCTTCGTCCCCCGCCCCAAACCCTAACCCCGTCCCCACACCGCCCCCAAACCCCGCAGCCAACGCCGCTCCCGCGAGCGGAAACGCGGTCGCAGCGTCGTCGCCGCCGCACAAGGAGCAGCAGCAGCAGAGCCAGGACGGGGTCGTCGCTGGTGGCGGAGCGGGGGTGGATGGTGGGGCCGGGGGCGGTGGCGAGGCGGTGGAGGCGGGTGTAGCGGGCGACGCGATGGAGGTTGACGGCGGAGCTGGTGGAGGCGGAGGCGGAGCTGGGGATGTGGAGGGCGGAGGTGGCAGTGGAGCGGCCGGAGGAGCGCAGCTGGCCTCGTCACCGGCGACCGTGTTCCGGATCCGCCTCAAGCAGCCCCCTGCAAGCCTCAAGTACAAGATGCGCGTGCCCGAGCTGTGCAGGAACTTCAGGTGTGGCCGCTTGAGTCGCTCACTGCCTCCTTGAACCTGCGTCATTCTCTGATGAACTTAAAAGCTACTACCATTATCTTTGTTTTAATTTCGTGACAAGGGAAAACGTGTAGCTGTGTTCATTGCAGAGACAATAGGTCATGAATTGAGTTGGCTTCCTGTGGCCTCCTAAAATGCTATGATCCCCTTTCGAAAAAGGGCTAAACACTGTTTACAGACTTACAGTTGACAATTTTAGTGAGGTCAATCGCTCTTCCCAAGCCAGAGAAAATTCGGTAAAAATGATGAAAACCATTTCAGGAAATCCACGAATGTATCTGGATGATCCATGAACAGATCTCGTGATATTCTACTGGATGTTCTATAGCTAGTCATCCTGAAATTGCTAGGTGGTGATACCACCACACTATGGTGGAAGTGGAATGCTAAGCTGAATTTGGTAATCTTTTGTGGAGTGTCTTTCTTGTTGGAGTGCACATTTATTCCCATGTCTTGGTAATAACTTCCGTAGACAGTCGGTATGCTAAACCTTTACAATTCTGCACGGTCCTTCATGGTTTCAGGAACAATTGGTGTGATCTTTAATTGGTTTGACCTGAAATGTGGATTAGCATATACCAGCTTTAAGTTTCATATTTTTAAAGCTCTAGTTCCATGCATATTTTCCTTGTTGACATATCTGTCTAAATCTGCTAGGATAGTGCGCCTAGTCCAATTTGCCACACGGTTAACTGAAACTTGTAAATTATATCTTTTCCCTGTCTTGGTGGTCTTTCAATTGCAGCGCTGTTGCTTGGTGTGGGAAACTGAACGCAATTGCATGTGCATCAGAGACTTGTGCGCGGATTCCAAGGTCAGATATTCCTCTATCCGTTCCCTGAAGTTTACTTTGTTCCTCACTTGTTACCGCACTGGAATTTCATTTTCAGACAAAGGAATTTTAGGTGGCAGCATTAATAGCGCCATTTTACTCTAGAGGCACTTCACAAATTATTTAATTATTTCAGTGAATTGTTCATTTGCCTTTTTTTTTGTTAGAGGTATTCTTTCCCACAAAGTAATGTACTGGATTTTTTGCAGCTCTAATTCAAGTCCACCATTTTGGATTCCTATACACATTCTGAATCCAGAGAGACCAACAGAATGTTCTGTTTTCAATGTTAGAGCAGGTAAACATCTATTCATCAGTTACTCAAAATATTCCTGTATCCTCCATACATGCTGTAATTTGATTATTTTTGTTTGTGAAATGCTGTCCTCAACCAAAGAAGACTAGCTTCCTGTCTCATTGTGTTTCACTGTAGTTACATTCTTAATTGGCAGATTCTCCACGAGACTTTGTTCAGTTCATTGAATGGTCTCCTACGTCATGCCCACGTTCATTATTAGTGGCAAATTTTCATGGGAGGATTACTATATGGACACAACCAACTAAGGTATGCAATTCTCTTGATCGAAGTCCAGATCACATAATAATGTTCTTTTCTGGGGAGGGTGTAGTGCTATTTAATTCAACTTTTCCATTGTAAAATAGTCAGGGATTTGTTTATCTTCATACATTTGATGGCATTTAAATAATTTGATTAGTTTCTTTTTGAAATGGTGAAGGGTCCTGTTAATCTTGTACGTGACTCCAGCTCCTGGCAGTGTGAACATGAATGGCGTCAAGATCTCTCTGTGGTTACCAAATGGCTATCTGGAATTTCTCCGGTATGTCGTTAATGTATACCTATATTCTCCCTGCATGATAATGTTGTGTTGTACTGCATTATGATTGAAACAACACTTTATCTACGTAGCATGCTGTTCAAGGACCCGATTTCCTGGTGCAGCTGTAGTCTTGAGACTTCTATGCCTCATTTAACATCCATTTTTTCTTGTGAACCATACGAGATGTGATCCCACCTAGCTCTTGATAATACCTTAGTAAGGATACTACAGGAGTGAATCTGAAACTATTGTAAGATTGTACTAGTAGACATTTAATTCAAAAGTAGTTGCGAGTTGTAATTATAGGTCCAGCTTGCTGATGCACCACATTGTATGTTTCTGTTAGTGTTTTTGTTTTCTTTTGTAATTGTACTGCATATGTGTTTGATTACCTATTTATTCCAGCACAATTACTAGCTGCGGCTAAATTTTTATTTGCCTTGGTTCTACAGTATAGATGGCTTCCTGCAAACTCCAGCACTTCGAACTTAAAAACCTTTGAGGAAAAATTCCTTACGCAGCACCCTCAGAATTCAGGTTGGTGAGCCAAATGTTTAACTGAGCAGATGATACGTTTTTGGGGGAGACTTCCTTCAGACTCGTTTTATTTGATTCTGACATAATCTTGTTTACTGCAGCAGGATGGCCAAATGTGCTATGCGTTTGTTCTGTATTTTCATCAGGGTCTGTTCAGCTTCACTGGTCACAGTGGCCTCCTCAAAACTCAGCACAACCTAGATGGTTCTCTACCAGCAAAGGGCTTCTTGGGGCAGGCCCCAGCGGCATAATGGCTGCTGATGCCATTATTACCGAGTCTGGAGCTTTACATGTTGCTGGTGTTCCCCTTGTTAATCCATCTACTGTAGTGGTTTGGGAGGTGATGCCAGGTCTTGGTAATGGCATTCAGGCAACTGCGAAGATAAATGCAACAAGCCCTCTTCCTCCATCTCTGAACCCCCCTTCCTGGTCTGGTTTTGCTCCATTAGCAGCTTATCTCTTTTCTTTGCAAGACTACCTTGTGTCTGAGGCTGCACAAACAAGAAAACAGATAGATAATGAGATCACTGAAGCCGCATCGATCCATTGTTGTCCGGTTTCCAATTTTTCAGCTTATGTCAGTCCTGAAGCTGCTGCCCAGTCAGCAACTACTACAACATGGGGATCTGGGGTTACTTCAGTTGCTTTTGATCCCACTCGAGGAGGAGGAGTAATTACAGTTGTAATAGTTGAAGGTGTGTATACTTCTTAGCAGCGGAAATCAATTATTATGAAGCTATGTAGTCACAATGATAGTTGTAACTTGTTCTGTTGCATTGCATGAATCTCATTGTAATCATGTACTCCTGTCCTTCCTAAAATTCTCCATGTCCTCATTTTTCGGTTCAGTTATGATATTTCTAACCTCAAATATTATCAGGTGAATTGGTTGCTCTTAGCTTTTATTTGTTTCTTCTACTGACAACCATTCACTAATTGCAGGGCAGTATATGTCTCCTTATGACCCTGATGAAGGACCTTCCATCACTGGCTGGAGAGTCCAATGCTGGGAATCTTCGCTTCAACCTGTTGTTCTTCACCCAATATTTGGAAGCCCCTCTAGCTTTGGTGGGCAGCCTCCAATGCAAACTGTTTGGTCCACTAGAGTTAACAAGAGCATTGCACCAACAGAGGACCTTAAAAACCCTCAAGCGTATGTTCCAATGCCAACAACTTCAGATGAACGGAGCTCTTCTGAGTGCAGTGTTGACAGGGCAAACAGACTTAGTTTTGACCCTTATGATCTTCCAAATGATGTAAGACAGCTGGCTCAAATAGTTTATTCTGCACATGGTGGTGAAGTTGCTGTTGCCTTCCTGCGCGGAGGGGTGCACATTTTCTCGGGCCCAAATTTTGATCAGGTTGACAGCTATCATGTCAACGTTGGCTCATCAATTGCTCCACCAGCCTTCTCCTCTAGCAGTTGTTGCTTGGCATCAGTATGGCATGACACACTCAAAGATCGAACCATACTAAAGATAATACGAGTGCTTCCTCCTGCAATTCTTAATGTTCAGACAAAGGTCAGCTCAGCTGTTTGGGAACGGGCAATAGCAGATAGGTATGCAACACAGTTAATACAAGCTGATTGAACTGATTTATTTGATCTCACAGTTGCGTTTTGTTGGCAGATTTTGGTGGAGCTTGATGGCTGGTGTGGATTGGTGGGATGCTGTCGGTTGCACACAGAGTGCTGCTGAAGATGGTATTGGTGAGTACTAAGTTTGTAGTTTGTCAAGTTCGATTTGTTTGAGTTGCCCTTGCAATTTGATGGGAAGTTGATCCTTTGTGTACTGTACAATTTCCACAACTCGCGTTTCGGGTTCCTGCAAGTCTCTTTACTTCATGGGGGGCAAATCATTTTGTTTGGATGTTTAGGGCTTAACTGAATGAAATTTGATGTTTATGATTTGAAAAAGTACCTGGTGACATTGTTTTAAATTTAAACGGCCTATAATGGGATGACGTTCATGCTTCGTCTTAATAACCCACTTCTTATCTGAAATGGGGCAAATGGCTTGGGAGTAACAGCTTGGAACTGTGCACTGTGCATCCGCCTTATCTTGAAATGTGTTTTTGCCTATGTTCCTTTTTCTAGATTCCTTGATGTATTAAAATGATTTTCTGCTGTGACCCGAGACAGAATTTCTTAAGCAAATGGACGTCTCTGTTTTTAGTATATACTACTATTTGCTACAATATGGTTGGCAGCAGATGCAACATTTATGCTCCTCAGCGAAAAACTAAAATCGTTTCTCTTCATTTCAGTCTCACTTAACAGTGTGATAGCTCTGCTGGATACGGACTTCCATTGTCTTCCAACAATGCAACAGAGGCAGCAACACTGTCCTGTAAGTGGTGGTGTTGTAGTTTGCTATGCACAGTTTGTAGCACTGGCCTTCAATTACTCATTATTTATAATCAACTTGCTTACTTATGGAGTATGTAATAGATGTGTCACATTATCTTCTTGCATTCTTTAGATAGTGCATTCATCAATTAGCATGATGGTTCTTCTACCACTTTTTACCCTTGCAATTACGAAGGAGATGCATACACTCCCTTCACTCTTTTTTTATACTAGTCTCGTGACTTGCAAATTTACTGGCACTACTTTGAGTTGTGGTGAGATTACTTGAAACACATGCAAGGCATCCACATCATCGAGCGCACACAACCAATCCACTTTCCACTTTCCACTTTCCACCACATCATCAAGCGTGCATACAACCATTCCATTTTCCACTTCTGCCACATGCAAACTCTCCCCATTATTATTTTCATCTTTTGAACAAGAAATAATTTAACTTGAATGTCACAAGGCAATATAACATGCATTCATCCTCCAATTACCTCTTAAGTTTTCTACCATCATATGGTGAGAATGTTGTGCGGCATTATTTTCATATGTTTCAATTTTATTTTCAATAATGCCGATGCTATAATTTTCCGCAGCAACGTGCGAGGCGTTATCTAGTTACTGAAATAACTGAATATTTCAGTAATAATAATCTTTTTTGTATATCTCCAAATCTCCAGTGCAATATACTAACAGAATCCTTGAGAATGGTCACATGCCAAACACCTGTACTTTGTAGATGTTTGGACGGATAGGTTATTTAGTGATTAGAGGTAATTTATATGCATAAGCATCTGATAGACATCGGTGCATTATCAAGCAGCTATGCTAAAGATAGTACCTTATATGTTGTACATGGCAAGAAAAGTGGTTTCCTTGGCAGTATGGATTAATCTATTACTTTCTAACACCTGCGATTGATTGATTTGCTGCATGCAGAACCTTGATAGGATAAAGTGTAGGTTGTTGGAAGGAACTAATGCTCAAGACGTAAGAGCACTTGTGTTGGACATGCAAGCAAGATTGCTTCTGGATATGCTAGGCAAGGGAATAGAGTCTGCGCTGATAAATCCATCAACCCTGCTACCTGAACCCTGGCAAGCTTCTAGTGAATTGTTGTCTAACATTGAGCCTGACAAAATGACGGTTGACCCGGCTCTACTTCCAAGCATCCAGGTCTACTTTACTTCCTGTGCTTTTCATTTCGTTGTCATAAATATTGACTTATTACCATCCATTGTTTTTATTTTTATTGACATGTGCTTTGGGAGCATTGGTACTTCGGATATTTTTATTAACACTTGTACGTAGGTGGTATTAAATTTCTTTCATCATGAGCATTGCTTTCCCTAGGTTAGGTGAAATCATGCCCAACTCACCAACTGCCGCTTATGCTCCAACTAGATTACGTTATTACACATTCAGCATAAGCTGCACGCGTAGAAACTTACATGTTGTTAATCCGTGGATGTACTTATTTTTTAGCACTGGAATGCAGGGTTATGTTGACGCTGTTCTAGATTTAGCATCACATTTCATCACACGCTTGCGGCGTTATGCAAGCTTCTGCCGGACTTTGGCTAGTCATGCTGTAGGAGCATCTTCTAGTTCAGGCAATTCAAGGAATATGGTTACTAGTCCAACCAACAATTCTCCGTCGCCGTCAAATAATCAAGGTTAATTTTTTATTCCTTCTATTTTATTAAAATTTCAGCGTTTCTGTAGTTTGTGCAGAACAGAAACACCTTGAAATGTTCTGTTTGTCATTTCATGTTCTACAAATGACCGAGTTGCTTTTATATTTTCTGATTTAGCATTGCTTCTTAGCATTTGATACTCCTGTCTCCTGCAATTTACAGGTAATCAAGGTGGAGTAGCATCTGCGACAGGGAGCTCACAAATGCAGGAGTGGGTCCAAGGTGCCATTGCTAAGATTAGTAACAATGCTGATGGCGCTGCCAATGCCGCACCAAATCCAGTTAGTGGGAGGTCATCATTTATTCCTATAAGCATCAACACAGGGACTTTTCCCGGGACACCTGCTGTCAGGCTTATTGGAGACTGCCATTTCCTTCATAGATTATGCCAGTTGCTGCTATTTTGTTTGCTTTTTCGGAGGAGGCAATCACCAAGATTACTCGCAAATGCACAAAAAAATCCTGATTCTGCCATGCAGAAAATACAGCAATTGATGAACAGTAAGATAGAGGACAGTAGTTCTGCTATTTCTGCTGTAAGATCTGGTCTAGGGGCTGCCAAAGTGGAAGATGGTGCAGCTACACGTGGACAGTTGGTTCTTGGAGCAAAGGGTCTTGAAGAAAATCCAATGGGCAAATCTGTTAGAATTGGTTCTGGCAATGCTGGCCAGGGCTACACGTCGGATGAGGTAACAGCAGTAATTTATTGCCATGAGTTTCTTTTGTTAAATCACTGTAGCACGTATTGTTTTAAGAGAAGCACTGAAATTGCGTTGTCCATTAACCATTTTACACTTCTCAGGGACTAACAATATGAACGAAGTAAAAAAGTCACATATGTTGGAGAGAGAGGGGATAATGCCCACATTTCAGCTTACGTCAGCTGTCAAAGTTAAATCACGCACTAAACAGGCTTAAAATTATTATTTTTATCTGATCATATTGACAGATAACAATTATAAGTTACTGAAAATGTTACTGCACCTGCATTTGAACATTCTTCTCTAGTCCCTGTAGTTTCTTGACCAAAGCATCTGTATAAGAGCCATTACATGGTGTATTATATCTGTATGTTATCTGGAAACTGTGAGTCAGCTAGCTTGTTCAGAGCCACTGTAAGACTGATTACTTGGATAGTTTACTTTGTTGTATTAATCTACCCAGTTGATTACTGCAGTTTTACTAACTGTGTATTTCTGCAAGACTGTAAGATTTGATTGGATAGTTTATCGATGATACACTGCAGTTTCACTAGTTACTTGGACTCGGGATTTTCTACATGCTTCTACTGGAGTTTCACTAATTATTTGAACTCATGAAATGCTTGATTGCATATCTGACAAGTACATAATTTGTTGCGTTGTTGCAGGTGAAGGTTCTATTTCTCATATTGGTTGACCTTTGTCGAAGGACATCAGGCTTGCAACACCCATTGCCTGTTTCTCAGGTTGGTACTAGCAACATAATTATAAGGCTGCACTTCATCGACGGCACTTACACTGTGCTCCCTGAGGTAGTGGAAGCATCTCTTGGTCCCCATATGCAGGTACAACATAGTTTCTCAATGAACCTTCGTCTGTTTAAGAATTTATGTATATGTGTGAGTGTCCAACATTTGAATAATAATATGTGACAATAATAATGGTATATTGTCTGGGAGAAAAAGAGATTGTAGTATTCTATCTTCTCTGCTACTTATACTTGCCAAAGTTAATGGTGGATTGAGTCCCTAAAAGAATATTACTATATTCCCTAAAAGAATAATCAGCGACAATTAAAATGGATCGGAGGGAGTACAGCTTTGTACTAAATCAGCGACATTTTATATGGATGGGAGGGAGTACTGTTTTTTAGTGGCTCGGGTGATTCTGGTACTTACAATATACAACCTCAGTAAACAAGTGCCAAAGATAATAAAAACCAAGTGAAACAGTGTTAACATACTATGGGGGTGGGGCAGGAGCATGTGGGTGGTTGTAACTCGTTAGATGTTCAGAGGCTCACAGCTATTATTTATGGGTCTCATTTCCAACTAAGTGTGTGGAGAGGTGTATGCATTGTATTTCATTTTGTATTTTTATGCAGAATATGCCGCGTCCACGGGGAGCTGATGCTGCTGGTCTTTTACTTCGAGAATTGGAACTGCAACCTCCTTCTGAAGAATGGCATAGGCGCAACATGTTTGGAGGACCCTGGTCAGAACCAGATGATCTCGGTCCATTGGATAATATGCCACATCTGAAAATAGGTGGTCATATCAACCCTCACTTGTCTGACATGGAAGAGGAGGGTAAAACTAACTTTGGGATTCAAAGTCTTTGGCCAAGAAAGCGCCGGTTGTCTGAAAGAGATGCAGCATTTGGTCTGAAAACATCTGTAGGTCTTGGAGCTTATCTTGGCGTGATGGGGTCTCGACGAGATGTCATCACAGCCGTGTGGAAAACAGGACTTGATGGTGAATGGTATAAGGTGAGTATGCTTAGATTCGCTTCGCGATCTAGTCTCATTCTTGTTTTTTTTTTTACTAGATTTTATCAGTGTATTCTATCCAGTTTTGTGTCTAATCCTCTCTTCTGCAGTGCATACGATGTTTGCGGCAAACTTGTGCATTTGCACAACCTGGTGCCCCAAACATGGCAAATGAACGGGAGGCGTGGTGGATCAGCCGGTGGACCCAAGCATGTCCAATGTGTGGTGGGTCATGGGTGAAAGTTGTGTGATCGCTGTCTTCCGTGACTTCTCCAGTGACTACTTCACCATGCTGATTCGTCTATAGTAGTTGCCGCTTGGCCAAATCTGAACGAGCATTGTTGGATCCCATGTTGGATAATTTTGTACCCAACAATTAGATCATTGGTCTCATGCCCCAGCGCTGTGGTTTACCTCCAGAGATCAAAAGCTTAAAGCAGATACTGAGACTTGGCTCTAACGGCTATGTAAAAGTATAGTAATATTAGGGGAGATGGCAATGTTTGTATTCTGCGTTTCTTATGTGTATAAATGTATCACAATGTTCAAAGGAAGCTGTTAGATACACATATTGCTAGTGCTGGATGTAGCTAAATTGCTAGGGGAGTTCGACTGTTTTGATAAAAAAAAACTGCAATCTTATGTAAATTTATGTGAATGTTATGTTATGTTAGATGAGACGGAAGCTGCAGTTGTCACTACCCAGTTCCTTGGCATCGTATGTTCTTGGGGCAAACTCTTGGGGCTTTGATTTGATGGAATTTTGAAGTATTGGAAACCTTAGGAATTTTTCATACGCTGGTCGTTTCGATTCGCATGGTTGAATTCTATTAAGAATTTTTTCTAAGCATTCGTTTGTATTACATTCCATATGAATTTTAGCACCCACTCAAACCTCTTAAAAAGAATCATTTGTTTTTCCTATTTTGCAGGCAAACCAAGTTAATGTATTGGTATAGGATTCAAAAGAACATGACATTGCAACCTATGTTTTCTTCTTCTTTTTTGTTCTGAAATCCTATGAATCAAAGAGGCCCTTGATTTTACGGTGGTGTTATGCTTTGTTTCCCGATTTCTTTTGCTGATGTGATCGTGCTGTTCGTCCTGTTAGGTTCGAAGTTCACAATTTTCTCAGCTCCAGCGCGATTTCTTTTGAACTAATTTAAAGTACGCTCTTTAAAATAGATAGACGAATTTTAACTGCACTTTTCGTTTCTTCTTAACTAGCTAGTCTGTAGAGTGCCGCGAAACCGCGACGCGACTTCAGAAACGAGATCACATCCATCCAGATCTCTCTGCACATCGCCGGCGATGTCGTCGCCCTACACCGGCGCGCAGCAGCCGTCCCCGGCGCCGCACCAGCTGCCGGCGGCGCAGCAGAACCATTCGCTGGCGTTCCGCGTGATGCGGCTGTCCCGCCCTTCGCTGCGGCCCGACCCGGCGGCGCTCCTCCGCTTCGACCCCCGCGACGTCTTCCTCCCCGAGGACGCGCTCACGTCCCCCGACCCCTCCGCCGCCGCCGACTTTCTTCAAGGCCTGCTCCAACCGCCCGACTCCGGCGCAGCAACCACCGTCCCCGGGGACTTCACCTTCCGCGATCGCTTCCTCCTCCACGACACCGCCGACGCCCTCGCGCCCCCCGGCCTCCTCGTCCTCCCACAGGCCTTCGGGTTAGCCTTTTCCATTTCCTTCTAGAATGTTGTGTGCAGCTCTCTAGACGAGAGCCTGCGCTGATGCTTCTGTGTCTGTGGCTAGGGCGATCTATTTGGGGGAGACATTCTGCAGCTACATCAGCATCAACAACAGCTCCGGCTTGGAAGCCAGGGAAGTCATAATCAAGGTGTGTTGATCCACCGCGCTCTTTTTGTTTCACGAAGTGCATTAGATCATTTCTAGAGAATTGCATCAGTTTTTGACAGAAACCATTGCATCAATTGGTCGAGTTATTATTGGCTGGTGTGAATTGTGTGTGACACGTTCAGTTAAACTGCTAGGTTAATACTTTTGGAATCTCTGATCAGCGTGATGCTGCATGCTTAGCCTTACTTCTTGTCGGTGTGGTCATGACCAAACTTATTGCTGCAGTCATTACCAAAGATAGCCTTAGTTCTCATTGCTGCATCCATGACCTATCGTTAAGGTCGATTACTGGATCACCTTGCTACTGTCATGAATGTTCAGTTCCTGGATTAGTCAGTTGTAATTTGCACGTTGCAGTTTCAGTATGGTGTTTGATCAAGTCGAACTAGAACTGGTAATATGAGGTATCAGCACATGTGAGACATTATGCACGCAAGTAGTATCATTAGTTTGGATGGTTGGCCTTAGCTCTTGTTATGCATATACGATTGTTCTGTTCATAGATTTGCAGGTTTCTCTGTCTTAAATTTGTGATACTTATGCATTCCCTTTGCGGTGATATGCATTGTGGACATTGCTCTCATACAGTTTCATCTTATTCTGTCACAAAGTTTGACTGAACTTTACTTGCATTAGGCAGAAATACAAACCGAGAGACAGAGGATACTTCTCCTGGATACATCGAAATCGCCTGTTGAATCGATTCGATCAGGGGGTAGATATGATTTTATCGTGGAGCATGATGTCAAAGAACTTGGCGCACATACGTACACTCCTTTCCTTTTTTAACTTCCACAACTGTTGCTTTGGCCATAGCAATCTTGATTGTTATTTGATTTGTGCGGTTATTGAGTCCAGGCTTGTCTGTACTGCTTTATATAACGATGGTGATGCGGAGCGTAAATATCTTCCTCAGTTCTTCAAGTTCACTGTTTCAAACCCATTGTCTGTTCGAACAAAGGTACTTTACTTCTCCTATTTATATATGTTCGTATCTGATCTATGTTCTGTAGGTCAAATCAATAATTTGGGTTTCACCATTTTTTTTCCAGGTTCGCACCATCAAGGTAGGTTACCTCATGCTTCACAAGTGTAAATGTAACTGTAAGTCCTTTGATTAAATGTAGGGGTCTTCTTTAGGAGTCATCAAATGATATGTTTCCAAAGATCTTTGCACATTTGCCTCAAGATTATTAGTTTCCCTACTTAATCTCGCTCTCTGTGCTTAGATTGTAACCTTGTACCAATAGCAGTTCACATTTTCTTTTCATGCTTGCTATTTTTTTTGCCCTCTTTTTTCCAGTTCAGCTTTCTGCTAGAATCATCTGTAAACTGTTTTTTTACTCCCGCATTCTTATCGCCGAGTTGAATTTCTAGTGGAGAAATCCCAGTGTTCTCCCCTGGGAATAAGACTTCAGGGGACTGTTTATTCCGTTAAACCTATAGCATTGTTTATTCCGTTAAACTGTAGTACTGTTTATTTTTTGACGTTAAACCTATAGTACTGTTATTCTGTTATTTCTGTAACAACCTATTACCTTAAATTGACGGGGTTATTCCCTTTAAATTGTTTAAATTGATGCGGTTAGTCCTTTTAAAACTATAGTACTGTATATTGTGTATTCCATTTTTTTATTAATTCACCATGGCAATCTTGAACTCTATATAGTTGATCCATGTTGACAGGATACTACATATCTGGAAGCCTGCATAGAGAATCATACAAAATCTAACCTTTACATGGATCAAGTAGATTTTGAACCTGCCCAACAGTGGAGCGCTACAATACTGGAAGCTGATGAACACCCCTCAGTGGTGAAGTCTACAATACGGTAAGTCAGTGCTGAAAACAAGCTCGTCTATTTCAGCATGTTGACTGTCATGTCAATAAATGAATGGCTAGTCTGAGTTGTATTTTTATACAGGGACCTCTGCAAACAACCAATTCTGATTAGAGCGGCAGGAGGAATATACAATTACCTATATCAGCTCAGACCATCGTCCGATGAGCCTGGTCAAATCAAGACAGAGGGTAGCAGCATACTTGGTAAATTTCAGATTACATGGCGGACAAATCTTGGTGAACCAGGCCGCCTGCAAACTCAGAACATTCATAGCACTGTCAGTAACTTCCTGTCCTCTCTTTTGATATTTATGTCACGTGTTGACTACAATGATATCTAGTTGGTTGCCCTATTAAAATTGAGAATGAAAATGATGTGCAACCTCTTTAGTTTAACTCATTACTGGTTTTTTTCACACCTCTTTTCTTTTTGTCAGCCTACTCCAAGCAAAGATGTTGACCTTCGTGCCGTGAAAATTCCACCTGTTATATTTCTAGAAAGACCATTTATGGTAAGTGATTTATTGGTTAACATTTCATCCAAAATCTTGCAGCCTAAACTACTGTGGCCCAAATAGTCAGCTAATACAGTTAAAGCATGATGGGATTTCCTTTCACAATTTCTGTGGAACGGCAAAATCTTAGATCTTGTTCTGTGAAGTTTAACAAAACTTACTTCTTCAGAGTACTAGATGGAGGTTAATAATGATTGAATTTATTTCTGCTTTTCCTTCTAACAATACAGCTAAGAATCTGTTAGCTTATCCTGCTTCTGGGTATCAAATTGAGTTAGTCTTGCAATTTTTCTGCTGGGTCATGTGGATGTGGATCCTCTATATAGTCCATCTATATTTTATTTTATTTTATATATTAATATATGTTCACTAGGGTTCTTACCTGATATTCCCATACAAAAATGGGCCAGTCTGAATCCACTTCGTCAAGTATTTGTTCGTTCACGTCCCAGGTGAGATATTGTCTTTTCCTAGCTGGCTTGTGTAATTGCAGCATCCGGTGCTAGCACATGTCACAGTGGATCTTAGCTTGCTTTCCACCTTAAACAACACATCTGCCTCATGACATCCTTGACCGACCGACTCTCTGGCTTTTAGTCTTCCCGAGCTCCTGTTTTTGTCTGAATCTTCTTTGCTTGGATGATAACTCATTTCCATCTGCATCTCAAGCCTTTCCTTGGTTAAATCTGTCACCTGGGAACTCGTATTACATCTGCTAAAGTGCCTTCTACACTTGAGCCTTCAGGCAAAAACTTCTGCTGATCTTAGTAGCATTATCTGACAATTTTATATTTGCTGAACTAGGATATTCATCTGACAGTTTATATTTGCTGAACTAGGATAATAACCACATGTTTTATGTACGGTATGGTTTGAAGGCTTGAATCGGTCACATTTCTTTTTACTCTTCTCATTTTTATGATTGGTGATCCATTATTATGTATCAGCGCACAAATTGCTACAGTTGTTCAATGTACATTATTTTCTCCAGGTCAATCTATGCCTTACAAATCAAACAGAGAAAACAGTTGGCCCTTTTGAAGTATTTCTAGCTCCAAGCGTATCTGGTGAACAAAAAACTGTTCTGGTCAATGGATTACAGAAGTTGGTTAGTTGCTATACTTATATGTTATTTAATCTTTATGATGATAGGTTGATCTGGTTTTAGCCTTTCATTAGAGCATATTTTTGGTTGCGGTGTTCGACAGCTTCTTAAATATTTGTCATGTGAAAATTATGATTGGTATTCTGTTTAATTTGCACATCAATATAATCAACGATCCCGTGGTTTAGGTATGCTAATGTAGTGTGTAGACATGTGTCAACGCATGTGGTTCTTTGTATTTCTGGTTTCATGCTAATGGCCTTCAGGTCAATAATAATTTTACATCCTGTTATTTGTAATTTTACATTGAGTATTTCTGATGTATGTGATCTACTACCTCCATTCCTAAATATGAGACGTTGGGGCAGTTTAAATTAAACTGCCCCAACGTCTTATATTTAGGAATGGAGGTAGTAGTAGATAGCAAATTTAGATCATCAAACTCGTTACTTCTCTAGCTTTTAATTTATAGTTAAAAACAATGAAATTCTCAATGTTGAGTAATCTAGGTTGCAGCTAATATCGATGAATATAATGCTGTGTCAGTATGCGTTTGACTTCTCACTGTCGGTTGTGCACAGGTTTTGCCATTAGTGGAGGCTTTTGAGTCCATCAACTTTGACCTGGTGAGGACACTATGAATAGATAACTTGTGCATATATATATCTTGCTTGTCGTTAAACATAAAATATATGTCTTTTTGGCGTCGCATATAGTTTGAAAAGTGATAGTATTGATAACCTGTGCTCTTGTCTTTATCGATTTTCCTCATTTCAATCACTGTACAACTGCACTTTTGCATAGGTGTAAGACATAGGAATTGAAACGAGTTAGAGTCTGCATGTCATGGTGTCCGTTAGGAAAACCGAGATAGCGATAAGTTTTAAGTTCAGTTAGGAAAACCGAGATAGCGATAAGAGTTAGTTTCCTTCGAATGAAATATTATCTCCTTTAAGTTAGTGATTAGTTTCTTGGGCTACCAAGTCAAGTATTTTATTCCCTATAAAATGGACACAATGTACTCATTTGTAATTAAGCAATGAATCAGTCAGATGACACAAAACTGTAAGCCTCCGAACCTCTCTGATCACGCTAGCGATTAAGCCCCGCCGGTGGCTAGACAGAGTGTCATATCTCTGCCCCCCGGAACTTTACCAAGTTATTGCACATCATGGATGACATCGTTACCGGATCTTTAGCTTGCATTTCATACAAGCGTCCTTCAAGTGGAAGCATCCATTTGATCATCAAAGTCAGTAGGATGTTCGTTTTTTATTTTGTTACTACTGTGTGCAATTGTGTCTTGCCACAGAAGTCCGGTAAGTCGGATGCAAGATTGTGATGCATTTATAGTTATTATTTTCTGGCACCTTGTTTGAATGTGAAGTGTAGTAACTATATCTGGGATAACCTTGTGCAGAGCATGGTAGCTACCCAACTTGGCGTGCAAAAGATCTCTGGAATTACATTGTATGCTGTGCAGGAAAGGAAGCACTACGAACCTTTGCCAGACATAGAGGTAAAATGTAGCAACTTCGGTGTCAAGTTCGTCTCTTCATTTGCCGAAGTGAATGGCAGAATTTTAGTTTGTTGAACGTTGATCGCTTTGCAGATTTTTGTCGACGCGGAATAGAACACCGCATCCACATTGGGAGACCCGTTGGACGATTTTTGTCGACGCGGAATAGAACACCGCATCCACATCGGGAGACCCGTTGGACGTGCTAGATTAGACCTTCAGGGTGAGCCATATTCTTGTTGATGTACTTCTGTTTATTGTACTACTGATATCATCATGTTGTAATTAACCACACCTTTTATATCAAAAGTAATGCATCCGTGCATGTTCGTTGTGTAATTGTAGCATGAACTGGTTGAGTCAGGCAAGAAAGGATTTTTTTTTTGCTCTGTTACCTTCTGCATTTTGTTAGTGTGTTTTGGGTCGGGTTGGGCCAAGCTCGGGCTTGAGATTTTGAGTTCCAGCTTTACCAAGCCCGGCTCAGACCCAATATGCCACGGAGAATGTTCGGGTTTAGTGTTTGGGTGGACAAATGGGGGAGTAGTCCATTACCATGGTATCCAAAGGGTGCCCCCATTTGTACAAAATCTTCTTTTTTCTCTCTTAGTTTGTACTTCTACTTCTATTTGTTCTCCATTATAGTCTATCAAAACAATGATAAATAGTACTAGCCTTTCACAAACTATTATTAAACAGTTGAAGTAGCCCGGTGCTACCCCTCTTTAGTTTCAAGTAATCATCATAGCCTTTCACATCCTCCACAATGTGCAAGAACAAATGTCGGTGCATCTGAAAGTGATGGTGAAAGTAGTGAGGATGAAAAGGTCGGCTCGGCTGCAAAGTAGTTCCTGTAGAGCAGGACATGCCCATCTGCCCTATGTCAATTGAGGACCAGATGCTCCGGTATACGATATGATTGGCCTTTTATTGGTGATGAGCTTGTATGAGGTGTTTTTTAAAGGAATTTGTGAAGATAAGCTCTGTTGACAATGTGGCATGCACTGTTGACAACATCAACCCAAAACTGAGTTGGGGTTTTGAATTCAATGAGCATGGTGCGGAACATTTCCATGAGAGTCATATTCTTGCATTCCAGAACTCCATTTTGATACAGAGTGTAGGTGACAGATAATTCATGCGTGGTGCCATACTCATCGAGGAAATTTCCATATTGGTATTCTTGAATTCCATGCTATTTTTACTCCTCACATGTTTCATGATCACCTTATAGCCATTTTGTGCTCTTTGTGTGAATCTTTTGAAGCATTGTTGGGTCTTGTCTTTATCTTCAAGAAAATAAGCCCAAGTGACTCGAAAAACTCATCAACAATTAAGAGACCATAGTGATTGCCACTGAAGCTTATGTAGCTTTGTGGTTCGAATAAGTCCATATGAAGAAGTTCAAGTGGACAAGTCGTGGACATGATTGTCTTCATAGGATGCTTTGACATCACTTGCTTGCTATCTTTGAAAGCACTACAGTATTGTGTCTTGTTGAAGTTGACATCATCAATTCCTTCGAAGTGCTTGTGCTTCACCAACTTCTACAAATTTCTCGTACCTGCATGACCAAGTCTTCGGTGCCATAGCCAACCCTCTATTTTGTAAGCAAACAAGTGGCAACTGATGGACCTTTTGATAAATCTACAAGATACATGCCACCTCTTCTAACACCTTCGAAGACATCTGAATAATTTTTTTCCCATGATGACTTGGCAACCATACTTAGTGAATAACACAAGCATATATAGGTCGGTTGGTTTAGCAACAAACATAAGATTGTATCCGGGAACCAACAAGCATAACTTTGTCAACATGTTTGTCCCTGCTGATGGCAACCTTACCCAACCCGATTACCTTTCCTTTATTGTTGTCCGCAAACTTGATGTTCTTTTGCGAGGAAAAACTAATAGTGGAATCAACAAACATGCTTTTGTCTCCTGTCATATGGTTGGTGCATCGACTATCCATCACCCATTTAGTGCCTTCGGTGACATGGTCCCGCAGAAGAATCGGTTCTTCTTAACAATCCACATCTTGATGGGTGCCTTAGAAGCATTTGTATTGCACTGAACATTTGAAGACATAACATATGAAGCATTTGAGTTTTGTTTCAAAGCAGGGTTATAGTGATCAAATGAGTATGCATAGAAGTTCTTCAAAGATTTGTGCACATAGTGGTTCGAAGAACAATGTACATATTAATGAGATGCAGAATTAGCATTGCCCTTAGAGGACATCCCTATTGCTTGTAAGTTAATGAACGATAGTTTCATTCTTCATGTGTTGGTTATTGACTCGTCATTCTAACATTGATGGTGCTACTTAGTCCATATTTTTGGGTGCACTTTTTGATTAATGATTAATTGTGGGTGTCCTCCTCGAGCATACATCATTATATCATTTAGTCTGACCTTTACCTTATGACCATGTCGATGCTATCCTGAAGCATGATTGTGGTATTTCGAATATCAACAAGAACATTGGTAGTGCAATGCTAAATGTTTCTTGATCGATTACCCAAATACCGTTGTATGGGTAAACATCATAATTTTCCTCGCCCTTTACCTAAATGGTTGTCTACTTGCTATCCTATCGTGGATATCATGCTATCACTACAAAGAAAATACACTTCCGTGATGATGTGTGTTTGCCACAGTAGGTCACGTTTTCTGTCATGCATGTACATCCATGACAATTTTATGACAGAATCAAGATAGTCATACATGTGCTGTCATAGAAGTGTTCCATGACAATATCAAAACTATCATCACAGAAGTGTCCACTTCCATGACGCTAAATGGCGCGTCATGGAAGTGCTTTCGTCAAGGGTAACCGATACATGGCATCCACCGTAACGGGTCGCTGTTAAGCTATCGGGTTTCATTTTGGATCTGGTAACCCGTTAATAGCCCGGACCAATGGAGATTTTCCACGTGTAAAATTCTCATTCGCTGGAGGATCCACATGTCGGCTCAGCGTTGGGACAGATGTCACCAGTATAATGGAGGGAACGCGGCCTCGACACATGGCACGGCCTAATAGTAGCCCATTTAAGATAAAAAGGACGACCCATCCAAGGGCCCACAAGATTTTGTCATACTCTACTGGGCCGGCCCATTAATAGCCTGCCATGGTTTGGGCCAAATTATGGCCCACATAAGATCCAACTCGTTAGATGCCTGTCACGTTTAGGGCCAAATGATAGCCCACATCAGATCCGGCCCGTCAACAGTTTGCCATGTTTTGGGCCAAATGATGACCCATATCGGATCTGGCCCGTTAACTGCCTGACATATTTTGGGCCAAATTATGGCCCATGTATGATCTGACCTGTTAACATGCACGGTGCTTTCGGCCCCATTGGGGGCCCATTTGAACTATGGTCTCTTAAAGGCCCATGTAATAGTTCAGCCCAATATTACTTTCGGCTTGCCCATTGGTAGGTATGGGCCGTTGTAGGCTTGGTTTCAGTTTCGGCCATTTAACGACCTATGTTGCATGTGGGCCTATTTCTAGGCCGAAGTGACTTTCGGCCTCTTAAAGGCCCGTAGTCTCCATGGATACATTTTAGCCCAACCTGACTATTGGCCCATTAAAGGCCCGTAGTCTCCGTGGATACATTTTGGCCCAACCTAACTATTGGCCCATTAAAGGCCCATGAGATAACTGGGCCTAATGATGGCCCGCTTTACAATCGACCTGCTTACGACCCATAATGTTATTGGGCCAACTGTGGCCTGACACATATTTTGGCCTATTAAGGGCCCGTTTTGTGGTTGGGCCAATCATGGGCCTCCGACACTGCTCAGGCCCAATCTACTTTCCAGACTGTTAAAATCCCATTCTATTTTCCAGCCAACTTAGGCAACTGATTTACTCGGCCTGTTATAGGCCCGAAACTAATAGTTGGTGAGTTTACGTCGAGGCCTGCTATTGGCCGGACATGATTGTAGGCCCACGTTTCGGCCCATTTACAGTGAATTGGCGGGCCGGGTAGTTTTAGTACCATAATTGTTTTATATAATAAACCGAACGTTTAGGCCCACTGCGCTCCGTCAAAGCTTACGACCTTTTCAAAGAGCGACGACAGCATATACAGAAATTAATTTATAGCATCATGACGGAGAATATACCTAGACTATACAACAAAGAAATTAATGTGCATCAAAGGTCGCCACCAGTGCAAATAAACACGCCACCTAAAATAATATATAGAACCGACAACACTTCAACACAATTCAAGAAAGGTTAGCCCTGCCTGGGAGCTACAGCGCAAGTAGCTGAGCACGCTGATGACTGCACTTGTTTGACGCTTATATCCAACTCTAGCTACATAGCATCAATGGCAGTTCTTGGCGTCAGTGATATCACCCTGAAAGTGAAAAAGACAAACAAATAACATGCTTTGCACATATAAGCAACAGTGCTGTCGATTCATCCCATTTCTTAGTGGCAAATAAAGAGACCTGGATTAAAATAAAATAATTTTTTTCACAGTTAAGACATGGCAGGAAATGGCATTGTGCGGGAGTGGTCAACTTCACCACACCATTGGATTACAAATGAAGAACAAAATCATACATGAAGTGCTAATGAACGTATAAGTATCGATGGTGAGTGTACTGTCAATTTATCCCATTTCAGATTGGTAAATAAAGAGACACGATTTAAATAACATGAACATAATATGCATTGTTCATAGTTAAGACATAGCAGGATATGACATTGTCCTGCAGTTGGTAGTTTGACCATGATGCGGCTTGAAACTACGTCGGTATTTCCTCAAAGAGGAAGGGATGATGCAGTACAGCTACGGTAGGTATTTCCCTCAGTTATGAAACCAAGATATCAATCCAGTAGGAGAACCAAGCAACACTATATAAACGGTACCTGCACACAAAGAACAAATCCTCGCAACCCAACGCATAAGAGGGGTTGTCAATCCCTCCTCGGTAAAAAGATAGATCGGTTTATATGTGTTTGGATAAATAGATCCGAATAAAACACGAAATAAAAGATGCAAATAAAAAGTGCAGCAACGTATTTTTGGGATTTTGGAATAATAGATCTGAAAACAAATGCGATGAAAAATAGATCTGAAAGCAATATGATAAAAGATAGACCCGGGGGCCGTAGATTTCACTAGTGGCTTCTCTCGAGAAAATAGCATATGGTGGGTAAACAAATTACTGTTGGGCAATTGATAGAAGATCAAATAATTATGACGATATCCAAGGCAA